CCTGTTTCAGGTCACATCGAAGGAAAAGGTGATCGCCAATGCTAGTTATCGCTCGCTTTCTCTTGACCTCATCGGCGTTAGCAAATACCGAAAACAGTCGGGGTCCTAGCACTGCACATGTGGATTCCCCGCATTCAACTCAGTCGGGTTGGTGAGTGATTCCCTAGCAGTCACTTGAAGCTTGCAAACCACTAGTTGTTCGTGGTGGATGATCTAGTTGTTCATCTGTTCAACGAAGTTGACAGTTTGGTTGCAAACGTTTTGTCATTAATCGAGGTGACTTCATCAGGGCAGAGTTGGCTCTAGCTTGGTCACAAAGACAGACCATTCCATTTCCGGATTTATCTTGTGCGATATTTTGCGAACAAGCTAACTCTATACTGATGGTGTCGCCTCGACTACTAATGAAACGTTGGCAACCAAATCCCAAAACACGGTAAACAGCTGCCGCATTTGAAACCTCCAATAATGAATAAAATAGCTAATCCACCAAAGGACAGCTTCGATGATTTAACAACCATGTGGACTGTGAAGTAGAATGCTGCGATCCAGACAGTCGAAATCTATGGAAAAATTCAGTTACGTGAAGTCCATTCTAGCCCCACCATTTACCACTTCATCACAATTACATCGTGCCATCAGTAGGTGGGTGGTGTTTGGCCGGTGTTAATAGTGACTATTCTGCTCGTTGCCATGCACTCCTTACCTCAACGAGCACTGCACCCCAGTGTCTTTCTGAACGTTTACGCTTGATAATTTATTTTAATTTTACACTGATATTAATTATCAAACTATTCATCTTGGCAGACGTTCGATAGATGACCCAGACATATTTTGATTTCATCGTATTCACCGCAACCCTCCTACGGAACGTGTTAAGCACTTGCTTTTATCCCGTGATAAATAATTGTTCATTGTTATGTGTGGTATTTTCGAGTCCTCTTTCTAATACTTGATGGCACGGGACGAAGTGGATTGATTGCCGATGCCCTAATGGTCACATTGCTGAATCCTCCAACGGACTGCCCAGACATGCTCAAGGAACTTGTTTTCTGGAACTCTCAATTGGTAGGCTCTTTGAGTGTTAAGCAATGCGGCATGCGATTGTATGAGACAATTCCGTGTGTTCCGTTGGATACCTTGCATAGCAAACCTGTCAACTTATATGACTACATGTTCGTTGAGACGCTATGGACGCTCTAGCATTATCTGTTCGACCGTGAGCTCTCCATCTGTGAGCACAAGGTCAAGTACGGATGGTTTGTTTGCTACCCCGAAACTTTTATAATGGAATTTGCGCCATAGTTACGTGCAGGTCGGCCTTGAACTGTTCATTGGAGATGTCCAGATCGTGTAAACTGAAATCCCCTGAGATGCGGACGTGTCTCTTCCTATGGTATGCTACTCTTCTCAGAGCGAGTATCAAACTGGAATGCATCTCTTGAGTGCGTACATTCGTTGTTGTTTCGTAATTGGATGCTGCACCAGATTGAGCCGGTGCCGTGAGTTTCCCTATCAGCAAATATCGCGCACTGCAGGTCGCTGCGGTTGTACAAAAGAGCCCCACGTAGCACCCTGCTGAAACGGCCGTCCCAGATAAGTGACATTCCTATTATCTCGACCTAAGTATTTGCAACTTCTTGTTGCAACCAGTTTTCAGTAATGGGATGAGGTCCTAAGCATTTGTGCCCTTGCGCAGTCGTTGTTCAGTAATTTTGCTGAGGAACTCTTAACATTTGAGGTACATGCATGGAAGCTCTTCAGATTTCAGCAATACGTCAGGAATTGTGCGTTTCATAAGTGTTTTATCCGACCAATGAGTGGCCAGTAGCCGATCGCTCTGGGTAATTGGCGACCGGTTCGGAGCCAGCTTCATCGGCACCATCATCATCGATAAACGTTACCTGAGGGTGAGGAACACACAATACAAAAGATAAGCGTCTAAAAAATTACACTACAAAAGGATTCCAAAGCAGGATATATATTGTTATATATTACATCAAGCATTTCGTATGGGATCGGAATTGGAGAAGAAATCTAAAGAGGATGTCATGACAGAGCACCTCACAACACAAACGCTCATGGTCACAGCATCAAATGTGTCCAACCAATCGTGTTCATCGTCCTTAGGACCCCGTCCAGGCAGTCGGTATGCACCAACCGACGCCAACTTCGAATTGAGGGTTTCTGTTTCTCTCGAGCAAGTCATCACTTGGCCTCCGCTCCTCTTCTTCCAGCCACACACTTAGCGCGCAATCACTGCACGTCGTCGGCGTCAGGGGGCCGACATCGCAACCCGTGGCCCAGCCATTGGGGCCTGGTGTATGATATAATGGTGCTGAGCGGTTCACTCGCTCTTCCTGCACCAAATACACGACGCCGAACACGCTCATTGCTCACGCGGTGCTCCTGCCAAACATTAGCTAAGCTGCGAAAGCAGTGATGGTTGAACCTAACTAGCCCCTAGGTCTGTTGATCTGATGATGCCAAGGACTCTCCATCAAAATCTGTTCGGCCGTGAGCTCTTCATATATGTGCACAAGGTCCAGTACGGACAGTTTTTTACTTCTTAAGTAATCCCCAATCTAACTTTGAATGTACAGCATAAGGGATTTGAGCATTCGCTTCATTTATATACACATCGCTGGTGCACCGTACGATTATAATCTACTTAGCGTTTGATACTTTGTAAGCCAGAATCACTGTGGGACATTTCGCTCGCTGCCTTTAGACGAATGTCTGATGCAACTTGCAACGAAATATGCTCCAACTTTTCAGTAACCACGCTGCCATTTGTTTTGACTGAAGGTCTATCTTCAGTACTGATGGGCCATACCTTTTGTAATCCAGGGATGCACGTATACCTGACACGGACTTTGCCAACACGTCGTTAAATGTGAGTTTTTCATGAATGAAACACTATTGCTCCTTACAATGATATCCTATTTCATGCTTATCGTATGTTCCTGCCACAGGAACGCTGTGGACAAGTACGGCTCTAGATAGCGTTTTCTTTCGTCAATCTTGTAAACCGCGGTTATTTCGGTAACGCTGGCTCCACGGGGTATTCGGAAGGGCACGGATTGAGCAATGTTCAATTCCGAGTCCACCTGTCGACAGAAGAACCAATTCTACTTTGGTGATCTTGTGAAATAAAATCCGTTGAAGTCTTGTTTCCCCACAGTAGTGCCGCATGACTAAGGCTACCTTTGTAGTGTTAACAGCAACACCGAATATATTGTTGATGTATTCCCACTGATTGTATCTAATTTCCTGCTTCCAGTCAACGTCCTTGTTACCTCTGCTACCTTGGAGCGTAATACAGTCAGCAAAGGTTGTTTTTTCTTGCTATCTTTCAACATGACACGGGCCGTGGTTGACATACTCGATGATATACCGCACGGCACAGGCAATGCTTGAACCACTACGCTTCCGTCCTTAGCTTTCGGACCAGTGGGGGGCGACGCTACTGCTTCCGAATACCAGACATCTTTTTAGAGACCGCTACCCAACCCGCACCCCTGCTATCTTGTTCTCTCGTTATTGGCCGCGTAGAGCTACTAGCTATAGCCTTGCTTTTAGTTACTCCAATTTAACTGAAGACTTGCTTGTTGCAACGTAAATCGCTTATGGTATTGAAACAGTGCTAGGTTCTGTGGACTACTAGTATCATTTCGCTAACGGTTTTGCCGTCCGTCCTCATTGGGACTGGAGCATCACTTGCTAGGGAGGCCTGGGTTGCACAGTTCGCTATGCTTACCCAAACTATGATGCTTTTAGTGGCTACGTTTCCTCCAAACTTGGCTAGTAGTTGGTGGTACTTATGAGCGAATTAGGGTGTGCATAGTCTCAATGGCGTTGGTGTGCATACTACATAGAACCAGGGACAGCATAATCTGCCTTTATACAACTTCACCTCGCTTGTTTTCCGTTTGGCGCATTTAATGTGGGAAGTCTTACTACAGCCGGTACACGGAATCTCCATTTTGACAAGTTTAGCACTTAAGCCATATAAACCTGTAGCCTGGGACACGTTAGGTACCATGCTCTCTGGTGGTTGGTAATTGTTGCCTGTGTCTTGGGTTTTGGATAAATATTACTCGGTTGGCGTCGCTCTGGTGTGACTGGGAGGTGTGCTTTCTATGCGTTAGGCTTGCGTGCCGGTCAAGTACGTTCTTGTGTCTGTGCGGCATATCACACGATGGTTTGATGTACGGGGTTTTGTGACCAAGTCTGTTGATCGCCTAGGTCAAAGCAATGAGAAGTTACATCAGTTTGGATACCCTTGACTTTCCCCATGCATCGGACCTCCATACTCTCTAGTAGAATGTGGTAGTCTATCTCTTCTCAACTAGCAACCATCCTACTGTAACAGGCTGTTTTATACCGAAATTTCCTAGGCAACATTTCTCAACCTTGGGTGAAATGCCTCTAACCATCTGCGTATCGAACTACGCAAGGGCTCTGAAGTGTAAATAACGGCTCCCGAGATCAACTTTCGAGTATGGTTGCCCGCAGTCCGCTGCAGCTGCACACACTCGCTTAACTGTTGGAAAACCGAACAAATCAAGTGCGAGAACGCGGCTACAACAAATGCACACATTTCGATGTTGTCTGCTCTCTTATACGCATCACTTATTCACACCATGAGTTATGTGTGTCGTCTGACAGACAGTTGCATCCAATCACAATACCAATAATGCAGCAACTCGCTTACAAACAGCCACTGTAGTTCCATGGATTTGAGCTATGCTGGCGGGGTACAGACTATAGCATGTCCTCCCTTAGCTTCTATTCTCATAATTATCTGGTCTGGCAAACTGACTTACCAGTTCCGGTTGACCTACATATCATGACACTAGCTCACCTATCTTCATAGTGGACACATTAACCTTCGTGCATTTCCGGGTATGGTGCTGTTCATAAAGTAACCAAGCTCAAAGCCCATCTGCGACAGCTAGGCGCATCTTCTTCAAATGCTCTATCTGTGTCTTTTGTAGCATTTGGAAGAAACCATCCGCAACTGTCAAGCTCAACAGAATGATCTTCATGTACTGCGTGGGAAAGAATCCGTGCAAATACCCCACGACGCTGGACCTCCTGACGTTGAGCCGGAGAATATCGAAAAGGAGCTAAATAGCAAAGTGGAACCCACAAGGTATTCACAAATTCAGCCTTAACCAATGGTTACTTCATAAGCTAAAACGGGAGCACATCAAACTGTCCGATTGAGTTCGGGTGAAAGTCACATGGTGGCACCCCGACACGTGATCCGTGGTAGTAGTGCATATCAGGAAGGTCTCAGGTCCACCAGGTTTTCCAGACCTTGAGGCTAGAATAGAACAGATGTTCATGCTGAAACCAACTCCGTCTCAGCGACATTCCATTATTCAATCATCTTACGAATCGAAAAGGAAATACCTAATGAAATTTTATCTATTGATTATGAAACATAAGTGTAATTACATCCACACTGTCTTATCGTCTCATGCGCGCCAAAACCGTTGCATTTCTATTCATCAAACCGCCATATGTTTAGCTTGGTCATTCGCACACTCACTGTCACTATCGCCAACTCCAACCTAAACAGCCGCTAGCTTGGGATTCGGAGTCCACTGCACCATGTGAACAGCACCCGTAAGGATCCGTTCCCCAACGAGAGCGACAGTGGGGGGACCGTGTGCTAGCACAACTATGCTTGGTGGCATCCGGTTCCGGATTTACCTGTCACTGCGGCCTCCGTAGGACAACCACAGGACGCCCATGATAACCGTAGGATAAGATGTTTCGAACTCACGCTCTTGGTTCTTGCACCTACCCTGGCAGTTGTAGAAAACAGGAGGATCTGTTACAGGTGCATCAAACCACTTACGCCAACAGACCGGAGAACGATCCCACATCAGTTGGGTCTCTGACCAACGTGTTCTTCCTTGGGACTACGGTGATCCCAGTCTGTTATCATGAGATTTTACCTTCATTGCCTCCGATGTGTAGGTACCGCTCCGATACCCTAAACACATCGCCTCATCTAATGTTTCCTACTTTTCTAGCTGTACCACTGGGCTGATATGAGACCAAGATACGTTACGCAAGAACATCTACGCCCTATTGACTGATTAAGATCTGTTCTGTCAACTGATGGAGGCCACTGAATGATGTTAATTTTGACGTTCGCTTAGAATAGCAATCCAAGTGTTTCATGTTAGCCATGGTATACAGTGTGGTCAGCCGAAGGTGCGAAAGCACTTTAGACATGTGGCCGTAGTGAGAATACACCTGGTCATCTGTGCACCCCCTCCAGCTGGTCAGAAATCGTAGACCAGACCCTGCACCTCTTTCATGACTTAAATTCACTTATAGCCCACGTGGATACTAACCATGAAACCATTATGAAGATACACCAGATTGAACGAACTTAGCGTCGAGCGGCCCTTTTCCCATCAGTGGGATCTATACCAACGTACCAATCGATATCACGCAACATACGCTACCCTCATTGTATTTGTCACCCGGCGTTTAAAAGTGAAATCCAATCTTCTAAACTTCTTAACGCCTAAAAGCCTTCGGGTTAGGTTCGCCCATGTTACAAATGCGCGCAGTTGTTAAAAGAATGGAGATATTTGGCTTACACAGTTGCTTCGATAATTATCGAGGAATCTAGATAACTAAATGGTATATTTTTCGACTTTTTGAGACAGACCGATTACATGACCTGATCATTTTGTACAACACAAATAAGTGATGTCTAAAGTCGTTAGAGTTTTTCCGTGGTCCCGATGGAGTGTTAGGAGTGTACTATAATTTTAATGAAGTAAGAGATGGAGCATTTGAAATTAAGAATAAATGTAGGTATAGCCGACACTTCAAGTAAAGTAATACGTCCATCCATAGAACCGTCTTCTAGGGACCTGCTTCCATGCGGGGTAATCCCTCGAAAGGTTTCATGCGCACTCCCGCTTCTCACCTGGCCATGTACGTACGTGTGGAATAGATCAACTTGAAATTGGTAACGGCGCAATTCTAAATTTTTACGGCCTAAATTGATTCCGCTTTGGCTTAACATGACTCAGATACGGGATAGAGAGCTTGGAAGCTTAAATCCGTCATTTCAGGAGATTGGTCCAATCGTGGTCGACAATAGTAAAAGAGAAAATGAATAGGAATGGAATGAAAGAATAATAAAGGTAGGTGAATGGCTCATGTCTGACGGTTGTCCGCTTCAACCTCTACATAAAGATCACAGAAAACAAATAATTACGAGATGCGATAGCTCAAAGAAATATTGGGATCGCTCCGTCAGCTGCAGGCGATCGAAAAGGAGAGTGATGGCGCAAATTCACTTTGTAGGGCGCTGAGGACTGTTGCAGGTGGCCAAAATGTTGCCTCCAATATAAAAGGGAAAACAGTTAGTAGTGTAGAGCAAGTGTAAAGAATGGCAATAAAAATTTATATGTTGACCTGATTGGACGTGAGTTTACACGATTTTGATACCACTGATCCTGACGCACACCCATCTAAAACTGTCGCCAAGTGAGTGTTGTCGTGATAAAAAATAGAACGTTAATTTTTTATTGCAAGGATGGGTATGACTGGGTGACAAGTACGTTGCGTGATCTGATTAAATGCTTTCTGGTCTTTGAAAACATAGCTCCTCAATCTTTGTCTTTCTTTCAAACAATTTCGTTACATTCGGTAAGTGAAGAAATTGGTTTAATTTAGTTTTATGCTGACTGACTGATTGATTTGCTCTTACTGAGTGTGGCAGTCAGTTCCATACAACGGGGTATCCAACCATGAAAAGTTGGCTTGAATTAGCGACGTGAAGTTTTGTTGCGGAAAAATAAATTTTCTGTTCCTTAAGTTATAGTCGTCATCCTCCTTAATCTACAACTGGATACTTCAGCTAAAGCTGAGATGGTGTATCAGTTTGTAAAAGAAAACTAAGCTATCCTTAGTTTTCGTAGCCGTAGAGGATCGATTCTCAGTGGCTTACATCTATCGTGATATAGTGCTAGCTACGATTCACTCATAAGACCTCTAGTGCAATTTCCGCTGTAAACGCCGCAGTGATGGTAAATAACTCTTTCGTATGAGACTGTGCACCCAATCGGGCAGTACTGTAAAATCAGATAAAAAGCAAGCTTGGCTTTGGGTACGATTATCGAGTTGTTGATTACATATAAAGCGCGCCTTGCTGTTGATAACTGTTTTTGAGCATAAGTTGAGAACTTTAATAAGTCATTATAGCTTACTCCTGGGTCGCGGATGGACGGAGTGGTGTCGATTGGTCCCCCATTTAGCTGCCTGGTGGGATGCTGTATCTGTGACAGGGGCGGGACTTGTGCACGGAAAAGCCAATTACTCATTCATGTGACTAGAGCTTGAGGGAATGCAGGTGCATCTTCATAGCTTTGATACCTATCTGTAGACGTTCAGGTGAAAACTTATGGACGATTTTCATATTGTCCGCAAAAGAAGATGGTTTTCCATCTTTAACTTCATCGAAAATGTCGATAATATAAGTGAGAACCAGAGTGAGACTAAGAAGGCTGCCTTGCAGAGCTCCACTTGTTATTGCACGTGATTGTGACTGCAAATTATCTAGCAAGACGGTCTGTATGCGCTCTTCTAAAAATGAGATAAACCAAGTCAGAAAGGAGCCGCGGGCACCGAAAGATTTGCCTTTCAACAAAAGCCGCTTACGTGGTACATACTCGAAGACTTTTGAATATGGAAGATCACCAGTATCGACACTTTGGTATCTACAGCCGAGGCAACGTGTGTAGAGCTGAACTCAGTTGCTGGTAGCGACGATTACCAGTAAGACCAACAACGGATACCAAGTATTCAGTAGTGAAACGTTGCCGAACCCAACATGTGTTTTACGAGTTACAAGTAACTGGAAATCAATTAGCGAAGCATGAAACGATGAACCGCATGACTCACAGGGAAATCGACTGCGAATGCCAAGTACCATCAACAAAACAAATGTACGGATAGAAGATACAAGCAAGAGTAAAATCCATGGTCGCGGAATAATGAAAGCGTAAATATTTCAGGTATACTACAGGGTTCTCCTCCTAGGAGCCTGATGGAGGGTAGGCTTCGATAAATGTCAAGTGGGAGACGATGTGAGGAATAGGGAGTCGAGTACAGATAGAAAGCGCATGTATGTAGAAAGGGAGCTCGTGAAGTTTAGGTCCGGTATTCTTCGTTATTTCTTATTTGAGTGTAGACCGGAGTGCGTCATTGGTGGAACAGCGCGGCGGGATTGTCGGACTGCAAGAAAAACTGGCCATTTCAGAAAAAGGGCATACAGGACATTTCCACCGCTGTAGGCCCGGCGATGCGCTTGGGAGGTGTCACACCCCCACTCCACATCAAAGACGGTCCACGTCCCACGACGAAACCCAGATGTCGTTTTTGGAGAACCGTATTCGAGCGCCTGGGGACCAGACTGGGCTGTCAGTACCGGTAGTATGGGGAAGAGCGGCTGCTTGGAGCCAAGGTAGTGAGGCCTGAGGCTTCGGACAGATGGGCCAGAAGATGCCACAGTTTTTCAGGGGACGGGTTCTGAAAGAAAAAGTCCGGAAGAGTGGGACGTGCTCAGGGCAGGCGCTATGACGTCGTAGGGAAAGCAAAGCAAGTATACGAAGCAACAAGGGCACACTTTTTGGTATTTCAAAAATTGTAGGGTTTTTGTAATTTTACAAAACGTTTTTGAATAAAGCACACGATTATTATTTTAAAAAATACGCTTGTTATGGAAAATAACACACGTTAGCAAAATCTGAGAAATGAACTGGACCTCTGACATGTCTACTCGTCGATCTGTTGCCTGAGGTTGGGGTGGGTCAAGGGTAACTGTATCGTCTAGTGATTGATGTGAAAGACGCAGTTGTAGGTAGGTGCACCTGTGCAGTTGTACCCAGTGAGGCTGGGGAGGGGTCTTCGAAGAAGGCCACCTTTGGACGATCGATGGATACCGTTGTTCGGTGACCATTCTGATCTAAGGTAAATTGCTTCGGAGTTCGTTGAAGAATCCTAAAGGGACCGGCGTAAGGAGACTGAAGAGCACAACGCACTGCGTCCGTGCGAACGAAAACGTGTGTCCTACTAGAAGGTTCACTGTGAATTTGCACAGCTCTGTTCTGCTCA